GAACAGCAGTGAACACAACTGTGACGGCGGGTGTCTGCGTTGGCGCGGAAAACTCTGGAGAGAGGTTCGATGTTCGAGGATCCAGCGTGAAGACATGGAGATTTGAGCTTGTTCGAGGGTCCAGGTTTTTGAGTGTGTTTTGCAACTTGTCGGGCGTCGCTACGGCTGCTTCTCCTCATAATTATGGTCCGAACGCACCTTTGAACAAGTCTGGGGTTGTTTGATAACCAAACTCACATCGCCATGAACAAAAATCGCAGGTTGGGTGGTTGAGACTGAAGTGGAACGTGAGGTGCCCCAGCCGGGAAGTCGTTTCGTTTCGTGCGTGATGTACGTGCGGGCGAGGCCAGGCGAAGCTGCGCGATTTCCTGCCCTCCCCAGTGGCCAAGTCAGACCAAAATATTGCGCCCCCTGGGTCCAGTCCGTGGTCCCAGGTTGCCCTTGGGTTGTCCCGATCGACCGAAATATGTTTGCTGATAGTTGCTTTGGCCGCTTATGGGGTACATAGTCACGTTGTCCGTCGCCAGCACATGTTTCTGTCATCGGAACACGTGGCCAGATTTCTTGCGCCGACACCTACATGCATGTTTGCCATTGTTCTGCCCGTGCGAATGTGTCGTTTGCGTTTCTGTGCAAGTGCATCGCGCTGTGTCGTCAAAGGCTTGTTGATCGGATTTAATCTTTGGAACCATCAATTCTATTTTATGCTAAGGGTACTGATCTGCTGTTGGTTTTCTTTCGCTGGGACCTAACTGCTTCTCTTTGAGCGCGCTGGGAGTACATTCCGTCACACTGTTCGACCAGCCTGCGTTTTGTCTTCATCCCTCCTACGTTGGCTGCTCGTACTCAACATAGAACTGATTGATCATTCCGCCATGGGTTGCCAGGAGCGCTGGTCTGACTTGACACGCTGTAAGGCCTGAAATTTGCTCACCCTCTCGGCCCATCGAAGACAGGTCCGAGACTGTTCGGTCAGGTGCTGCTTTGCTGTTCTCAACCGCCGCACCCTCCTCGCCAGCCCCCCATATCCGCTGGACTCTGGCTACGCGTATGGTTTCAGGGACGGTATGGTTTCAGGGACTCCGTCGTCCCCCGAGTTTCCCTTGCCGTGGGCCCGCCTCGTCTGGTCGCATGCTAGTGGGCAGCGCTGCAGTGCGCCGCCAGCCCTGAAAGCGGTCCGTTTGGCACGAGAGGGGCTCGAGTCGGTGTTTTTGCTTTGCAGCCCAAGAGCCAAGTGTCTCGAGCTTCTCCATTCGGTGTCGTGCCACGGGTTGCCCGGCTTGGCACGCTGTGGGGCCTGAAAGCTGCACGCCCTCTCGGCCCATCGACGACTGGCCCGAGCCTCTTCGGCCAGGCGCCGCTCTGCTGTTCTCAACCTCCGCGCCCCCCTGGCCAGCCGCCCTATCTTCGCTGGACTCCGGCTACGCGTATGAGCGACCCTGCGCCAGAGTGGCCCCTTTGGTGCGCGGCTTGCGCGGGGCGGCAAGCCCGAGAGCCGGCGCTGCCGCACCGCGTGCCGCGATCGGCGGGCCGCGCACCCGAGGACCCACCTCTTGCCCAGGGCCACCCGTTGCGCGTGGCCGGCGGCTCCAGCGTCCCGCTCGTGCCGCAAGCACGCCCCCCTGCCGCAGGATCCAGAGCGTGCAGCGCGGCAAGGCGGCCCGGAGGCAGGTGGCGGAGGCTCGCGCCGCGCGAGGGGAGGCTGCCGAGCCAGCAGCCGCGCCTGGGCCCCAGGCTGCTGCTGCCGAGGAGGACGAGGCGGCCCAGGCCGCGGCCATCAGGACCCTGCCGCCGCCGGCCCTGCCCCCTGCCTCCGCCCCTGGGGTCTGCCGCGAGGTGCTGGGCCTGGGCCAGACAGTTGCGCTCCTCCAGGGGGCGTCGCGGGATCGCGCAGCCAGCCGCGATCGCGGGATCGCGCGCAGGGCGATGTCAATCGGGCGGCCGCAGTTTTCGACGGCGGTGCCCAGGGCGCAGTCTGGGAACCTGGGAGGGCATGATTTCAGGGACTCCGTCGTCTCCCGAGTTTCACGTGCCGCCTGCCCGTCTCGTTCGGTCGTGAGAGCGGTCCGTCAGGCACGAGAGGGGCTCGAGTCGGCGTTTTTGCTTTGCAGCCCCAGAGCCAAGTGTCTCGAGCTTCTCCATTCGGTGTCGTGCCACGGGTTGCCTGTCGCCCCGCGGGGTCGCTGGTCTGGCTTGGCACGCTGTGGGGCCTGAAAGCTGCACGCCCTCTCGGCCCATCGACGACTGGCCCGAGCCTCTTCGGCCAGGCGCCGCTCTGCTGTTCTCAACCTCCGCGCCCCCCTCGCCAGCCGCCCTATCTTCGCTGGACTCCGGCTACGCGTATGACGAGCGACCCTGCGCCAGAGTGGCCCCTTTGGTGCGCGGCTTGCGCGGGGCGGCAAGCCCGAGAGCCGGCGCTGCCGCACCGCGTGCCGCGATCGGCGGGCCGCGCACCCGAGGACCCACCTCTTGCCCAGGGCCACCCGTTGCGCGTGGCCGGCGGCTCCAGCGTCCCGCTCGTGCCGCAAGCACGCCCCCCTGCCGCAGGATCCAGAGCGTGCAGCGCGGCAAGGCGGCCCGGAGGCAGGTGGCGGAGGCTCGCGCCGCGCGAGGGGAGGCTGCCGAGCCAGCAGCCGCGCCTGGGCCCCAGGCTGCTGCTGCCGAGGAGGACGAGGCGGCCCAGGCCGCGGCCATCAGGACCCTGCCGCCGCCGGCCCTGCCCCCTGCCTCCGCCCCTGGGGTCTGCCGCGAGGTGCTGGGCCTGGGCCAGACAGTTGCGCTCCTCCAGGGGGCGTCGCGGGATCGCGCAGCCAGCCGCGATCGCGGGATCGCGCGCAGGGCGATGTCAATCGGGCGGCCGCAGTTTTCGACGGCGGTGCCCAGGGCGCAGTCTGGGAACCTGGGAGGGCATGATTTCAGGGACTCCGTCGTCTCCCGAGTTTCACGTGCCGCCTGCCCGTCTCGTTCGGTCGTGAGAGCGGTCCGTCAGGCACGAGAGGGGCTCGAGTCGGCGTTTTTGCTTTGCAGCCCCAGAGCCAAGTGTCTCGAGCTTCTCCATTCGGTGTCGTGCCACGGGTTGCCTGTCGCCCCGCGGGGTCGCTGGTCTGGCTTGGCACGCTGTGGGGCCTGAAAGCTGCACGCCCTCTCGGCCCATCGACGACTGGCCCGAGCCTCTTCGGCCAGGCGCCGCTCTGCTGTTCTCAACCTCCGCGCCCCCTCGCCAGCCGCCCTATCTTCGCTGGACTCCGGCTACGCGTATGACGAGCGACCCTGCGCCAGAGTGGCCCCTTTGGTGCGCGGCTTGCGCGGGGCGGCAAGCCCGAGAGCCGGCGCTGCCGCACCGCGTGCCGCGATCGGCGGGCCGCGCACCCGAGGACCCACCTCTTGCCCAGGGCCACCCGTTGCGCGTGGCCGGCGGCTCCAGCGTCCCGCTCGTGCCGCAAGCACGCCCCCCTGCCGCAGGATCCAGAGCGTGCAGCGCGGCAAGGCGGCCCGGAGGCAGGTGGCGGAGGCTCGCGCCGCGCGAGGGGAGGCTGCCGAGCCAGCAGCCGCGCCTGGGCCCCAGGCTGCTGCTGCCGAGGAGGACGAGGCGGCCCAGGCCGCGGCCATCAGGACCCTGCCGCCGCCGGCCCTGCCCCCCGCCTCCGCCCCTGGGGGCTGCCGCGAGGTGCTGGGAGCAGCCCCCCCCGCCTCGTTCCTGGTGGCGGCGTCCAGGGTTCGATCCCCAGGTCACCCCGCAGGAGTGCGAAGGGTCGGGGTCGCTCGGCGCGGTGCGAAGGGTCGGGGTCGCTCGGCGCGGCCTGGGCCGGACAGTTGCACTCCTCCAGGGGGCGTCGCGGGATCGCGCAGCCAGCCGCGATCGCGGGATCGCGCGCAGGGCGATGTCAATCGGGCGGCCGCAGTTTTCGACGGCGGTGCCCAGGGCGCAGTCTGGGAACCTGGGAGGGCATGATTTCAGGGACTCCGTCGTCTCCCGAGTTTCACGTGCCGCCTGCCCGTCTCGTTCGGTCGTGAGAGCGGTCCGTCAGGCACGAGAGGGGCTCGAGTCGGCGTTTTTGCTTTGCAGCCCCAGAGCCAAGTGTCTCGAGCTTCTCCATTCGGTGTCGTGCCACGGGTTGCCTGTCGCCCCGCAGGGTCGCTGGTCTGGCTTGGCACGCTGTGGGGCCTGAAAGCTGCACGCCCTCTCGGCCCATCGACGACTGGCCCGAGCCTCTTCGGCCAGGTGTCGCTCTGCTGTTCTCAACCTCCGCGCCCCCCTCGCCAGCCGCCCTATCTTCGCTGGACTCCGGCTACGCGTATGACGAGCGACCCTGCGCCAGAGTGGCCCCTTTGGTGCGCGGCTTGCGCGGGGCGGCAAGCCCAGAGCCGGCGCTGCCGCACCGCGTGCCGCGATCGGCGGGCCGCGCACCCGAGGACCCACCTCTTGCCCAGGGCCACCCGTTGCGCGTGGCCGGCGGCTCCAGCGTCCCGCTCGTGCCGCAAGCACGCCCCCCTGCCGCAGGATCCAGAGCGTGCAGCGCGGCAAGGCGGCCCGGAGGCAGGTGGCGGAGGCTCGCGCCGCGCGAGGGGAGGCTGCCGAGCCAGCAGCCGCGCCTGGGCCCCAGGCCGCTGCTGCCGAGGAGGACGAGGCGGCCCAGGCCGCGGCCATCAGGACCCTGCCGCCGCCGGCCCTGCCCCCTGCCTCCGCCCCTGGGGTCTGCCGCGAGGTGCTGGGCCTGGGCCAGACAGTTGCGCTCCTCCAGGGGGCGTCGCGGGATCGCGCAGCCAGCCGCGATCGCGGGATCGCGCGCAGGGCGATGTCAATCGGGCGGCCGCAGTTTTCGACGGCGGTGCCCAGGGCGCAGTCTGGGAACCTGGGAGGGCATGATTTCAGGGACTCCGTCGTCTCCCGAGTTTCACGTGCCGCCTGCCCGTCTCGTTCGGTCGTGAGAGCGGTCCGTCAGGCACGAGAGGGGCTCGAGTCGGTGTTTTTGCTTTGCAGCCCCAGAGCCAAGTGTCTCGAGCTTCTCCATTCGGTGTCGTGCCACGGGTTGGCGGCCTAAGAGAGTCCCGACATAATCCCAATACAGGCGCAGACTCCCCAAGAAGGCCCTAATAGGGTCCCGAAAGGCCCCCTAAGATGCCCCAAGATAGCCCAAGTAGCCCCCAGGGTGGCCTGAAAAGCTCACGACGACCCCCCCCTCCGTAGACATATTTTTGCTCAAGCTCAAGTCTGGCGCAAGCCATCTTTGCTAAAGCGGAAGGGCAGCTTCTCCCCTACCAAGCGTTGCGATCTGATCCGATCGTCATGCCAGCTTTCTTGAAACTTTTGGTAACTGTCACGTCTCAGCAACGTACGATTGACCCTGGGGTATACTTGAAAGCGCAAGGGGAGCTGCTTTCCCTTACGATACTCGTATCTGGTTATATAACCTTCGCAGTCCACCCGGGTATGCTGGAGGATAACCCGGTCAAGCGAATGTTGGGATACAACAATCCGTGCGTTCTGTGGGACAGTCCGCCAGCCCTCGAGTTCGCAGCTGTGATGTATTCCTTGACCGTATACTTCGCGCTGAACTATGCAAAGTTGAACGCGCAGCGTGTAGCGCTGTACAATATCCGTAAGGGCTTCGCCCCCTGCCGCCGGCCCCCTCTCTCGGAGAATGGGCCATGGAAGAGCTAAGTCATGAGGCCTTGGCGCTGTCGTGAAGCAGTATCGAAACTTCATGCGAAGCCGATTCGCAATCAGCAAAACCAACTGATCACAAGAGGGGTTACCACACCTGGCGATTGGTAAGACGTGTATGGTTTACGGGCTTGGTTACCACACCTTGCGATTAAAGGGCCGAGGGAGTTCTCGCAGTTTGGGTTACCACGCCTTGCGATGGATGTGCGTGAAGGGTGGCACCGAATTTCAGAAATGTGCCAAATCCCTTGTGTTTTTGGACCCTGACCCCGCGGATCTGCGTGAGGGGTGGCACCGAATTTCAGAAATGTGGCAAATCCCTGTGTTTTTGGACCCTGACCCCGCGGATCTGCGTGAGGGGTGGCACCGAATTTCAGAAATGTGGCAAATCCCATGTGTTTTTGGACCCTGACCCCGCGGATCTGCGTGAGGGGTGGCACCGAATTTCAGAAATGTGGCAAATCCCATGTGTTTTTGGACCCTGACCCCGCGGATCTGCGTGAGGGGTGGCACCGAATTTCAGAAATGTGGCAAATCCATGTGTTTTTGGACCCTGACCCCGCGGATCTGCGTGAGGGGTGGCACCGAATTTCAGAAATGTGGCAAATCCCATGTGTTTTTGGACCCTGACCCCGCGGATCTGCGTGAGGGGTGGCACCGAATTTCAGAAATGTGGCAAATCCCATGTGTTTTTGGACCCTGACCCCGCGGATCTGCGTGAGGGGTGGCACCGAATTTCAGAAATGTGGCAAATCCCATGTGTTTTTGGACCCTGACCCCGCGGATCTGCGTGAGGGGTGTCGATTTCGAGCCCCCCCAGCAATTCAGACAACGCGCCCAGGGGGTGCTAAAAAGCCGTTTGGGCCTCCCCCCCCTCGCGCGGTCAATCAATTAGTTACAGTAACCAGCAAGAAGCAGAACTGTAACACTGGAAACTACAAGCTACAACTGGTACAGGAAACTGCGAACCCGCGCCTACAGCCTGGTGGCCCCACAAGGGGGCCGGCGGATTAGCCGATACACAAAATATTTCATCTTCTATGCCGACCTCATCTATGCATTGAGCGCAATGATGGTGACGCTTATTTTTGTTATCAGTCCCATGGATGGGGATCTCGATAAGTTAAAAATCATTCCATGGCATTCCTTCAACTAGTGCCTATTAGGTTTCTCATCGTTGCCGTTAACCACTTTATATTGGCTCCGGCCGTGACTCCAAGTCAGTGGACTTTCCTGGCTATCTACGGTTTTTTTTCGACGTTGGAAACTGTCCTTGGTGTGAGTTCGGTGTTGCATTATGCAGGCGACGAGCCCTTGTGGAATCCCATCATGATGCAAGCCGTTGATTATGGTTGGTTTCTTTGCTTACCTTTGACGACTCATTTCTTACCCGCAGCCCCCTGCGTGCGGATCAGCTGTACGCTGGTGGATGAGCGAGACCAGGGTGTGTCTCGCCAGGTTGAACACATAGAATCATTGGGCGAACCTGGTGATAAGTTTTTTCTCGCAGCTGTGACCCACAGCTGTTTCGCAGCTGCCATTTTTGCAGGGTTTGCAATATTGAGGGCCTTCGGTGTGAACAATCCGTTGTTCGCGATCTTTTTCACGAAACGCACGCATGAGGCCTTGTCTGATCCATTAATGTGTTCCATGTTCGGGCTCCTAGGCTCATTCATCTTCGTCAACGCGAGCTTCTACTATAGCTTCTACAAAGATGGTGTTGCCCAGTACCCCGATCTTCTCAGAGCCACTGGAACACGAAAGGTGTTTTTCGGCATCATCTTCTTGATGATGCTCCTCAGTGGGATGATCAAGTTTCCTCTGGCGGCCTTGGGTTTCTTGGACCTACTATTGGGCTTATACTACCATTACGTCTACGAGACGATGGGCACGGCACCCGCTCTTGGCTCTAGCCAGGCCGCGACGTCGGAAGAGTGGGGCGGGCCTGGCGACAAGGTGATGCTTGCAGCTTCGGTACATTGTTTAGTATCAATGGTGGTATTCGTGGGATCGGCTTTGCGGAAATTCGTTGATATATTCGACTTTCTGTTCCTAGCGTTCTTCACTGATGTTAGTCTTCAGCAGGCGAAATCGGGTCCATTCGTCAGTGACCTTTTCGCTCTGCTTGGCTTGGTCATTCTGGGCAACGTTAGCTTCTGTTCTAAATTCTACAAAGATGGTGCTAGTAAGTACCTTCCGTTTGTGCGGGATACCGGCATAGGGAAGGTGATATTCGGCTCAGTGTTCATGGCCTTGTACGTTTTCGGGCATATACAAACCCCAATGGCGATCCTGGCTGCCCTCGATCTGATTTTCGGCGTTTATTTTCTTTACGTGTTCAAGGAAATCGACCAACGTGTCCACAGCTACGCGCTACAAGCCGTTGTCAATGCGGAACAACCCTAATCGAGTTTTGTCCCTTGGGCTATGTGCTCGCATGGCCGTTTGCTTGCACGCAATTATGATGGAGCTGGCAACTGTTGGGACTCTGTAGATGCGAGTGTTTGTTTTAATATCGTCGTAAAAAAGTTCACGACGACCCCCCCCTTCTTGGACGTCCTCTTCCTGGTGCTCCTTACTGTCCTCCTTTGTCGTCCTCCTTCTCCGCTTCATCCCTCCTCGTGCTCGTCCTCCTCCATCTCTTCCTCCTCGTCCTTGTGCTTGTTTTCCTTCTTGTTGTCATCGTGCTCTCTTCGCTGCCCTCCACGTCATCTACACTGCCATCCTCGCCATCAGCCGCCTTGTCCTCGCTCTCGTCCGTCTCGTCTTTCCCAGGCAACGAACCCAAGAGGCAAGACCGACGCTTCCCGTTTATGTCCGGTCAGGTTTCTCGGTCTCCCTGTCTTGTCCCTTCGCATTTTCACCGCTCCCTTTTCTGCAGATTCATTGTTTGAAACTCCCGCCTCCTTTTCCATGTTTTCCCTTGTCCCCCTCCTTCCAAGAGATCACAAGAGTGCGCCAAGATGACCTTCGGATCATTGACATGAGTCCGCGCCCGAGGCATTCATCGAGTGTTCGTTGATTTCAGGGGTCAATTTGTTTTTCGGCTGCAGTGGCTCCTCCACAGTGTCCCTAGAAGAGTACATTCCTCATTTTTCTTCCTCATTTTTCCTCCTGATCTTCCCTGCGAATTCTCACCTGACTCCTCCCTCGTTCCCTCCTATTCCTGTATACTCCTTCTCATTATACGCCCTCCTGCAACTACCTCTCTGGTCCTTCATTTTCAAGAAGGCATAAGAGTTTGCCAAGAGGAGCTTCCATCATGCGCCCCAGTTTCTGCCCTGAGGCGCTCGTGGCTGCTCGACGAGTCTGGCGACCTCCAACTTTTCGGCGGAAGTCACTGGCTCTACGGCGTCCCTGAGTGATACGGCGTCCACGAGGACCCCAAGATGGCCCTGAGACGCCGTCTCCCCGCGGCGGTTCTGGCTCGTCATGGCGCGACCCCTCTTCCGCGCCGTGCCCCGGTGCCTGGACCTCGTGGGGCCCCGAGTGGCCTCGAACCGCTTGGCCTTTTGTTCGGCGGCGAGCGAGGGGGGGAAGTGAGAAGGAGAAGGCCTCCTCAGGAGGCGGTCGGACTTCTCAGAAGCCCTCGCGCCTTCTGGGAAGAAGTTTTCCCTGTCTTCGGGGAAGGCCCAGACAGCTTCTCAGAAGGCCCGGGGACTTCCGAGCCTTCTGAGAAGGCCTGCCCCTTCTCCCTTCCCCCCCGGCGCTCGCCGCCAGTTTTTGCCACCCCGCGGGCCTCGGGCGTCTCGGCTCCTCCTCCCGGGCAGGTCCTCCTCCTCCATGCCGATGCCCAAGGGGCCCGAGAGGAGCCCCTGTACAGGCCGAGCCCCGAGGGAGGCAACGTGTGCGCCGGGACTGGGCCGAGGCAGCGCGGCAGAGCTTGGACCGCTGGCAGTCTCCTGGGACCCCCCAAACCGGGTGGTGGGATACCAGGTGGCGACCTGGAATCCCCCAAAAAGGTCACCGCTGGGTTTGTTGGGCGTGGCTTGATGGGGGGGTCACAAATGGGGGGGTCAGAAACGGTCCCCTTTCGTGCCCCTTTCGGGCCCCTCCGGAGCCCCAGGGGGCTCGTTTAGGTACCGTTTGGGTACCTTTTCGGACCACCCTCGCCACCCCCCCATGTATGACCCCCCCATTACGCAACGCCCAAGTTTGGGGACACGGGGTCCCCACCGGGTTTTGTGACTCCTGGACCCACCGGTGTCCGGGGCATCCTCGGGAAACCGCACGGACCCCCAAACCGGGTGGTGACACCAAATCGCCCGAGACTCACCGCCAGGTGTTGTCACCACCACGTTTGGGGACTACCAAGTCTCCGGCTTTCGCAGAAACCTGTTGTAGCACCATCATGCCTCACTAGCCAGGGCCATCATCCTGGCCTTGGCCAGAAGGGCGTACGTTTCGAATCCTGAGTCCTTGAGGGCCCGTGGGCCCGAAAAACCGGCCGGCCTCCAGAGGTCAAAGCTGGTGGCAAACCGACAGTCTTGACTCTTGTCCAGGTGCTGGTTGTCTGGGCAGTTGCTTTCCGCGTCCATCCGCCTTTCGCGCCTCCCCGTGCGACGAGATCTATACATTTCCACTGCTCCCTGGCCAGGCCCACCCTGAACCCAACAGCGGTGTACACGCCCTCTTGGCCGAGCCAGGAGGGCGTGGCGTGTGCACCGCTGCTGGGTTCAGGATGGGCCTGGCCGGGCAGCAGTGGATCTGTCGACTAGACGTAAAGGGTGAACGTTCGCCGGAGTGACCTTTGGTGCGGGCACGGATGGGTACCCGGATGGCTGAAGACGAGGCAGTAGCAGCTGCTTGCGCACCCAGGGTTGGCCCCCCCGCGGCCCCCAAAAAGTCGCGCGCCAAAGGTCACTCTTTCCCAGGGTCACTCGCTCTGCCTTAACCCAAGGCCACCAAGAGGGTGCGAAGTCTGTCGCGCGTCGCGGTCTGGGCGGCTCCAGAGCGAGGCGCGAGTCCCTGATCCTGCTCCGGGGAGGGGGGGGGGGCGGCGCGAAAGCGCAAGGATCATTGCGCTTCGCGCGGCGAGCAGTGCGCGAAGCTAGCTCTCGCCGCTCCACCTCCCCGCGGTCCGCGCCGCGCCAGCCCAGAAGGATCCAGAGCATTGCGCGCGGCAGGGCGACCCGGCGGCGCGTGGAAATGGCCCGCGCGGAGCTCGCGGAGCTCGAGGCCGCGGAGGCCGCCGGCGCCGGCGCCGTCGCCGTCGTCGTCGCCGTCGCCGTCGCCTTGTGTGTGTGCAAAGTCAGAGCCTTAATTTAGTCATCAACCTCGCCCTTTTCTTGGCGTGATCAACCGGAGAACTCCCTTTCTCTCCGCTTCTGCTCCTCGGTGCGCCGCTCGCGCTCCCCTCCGGCTCTTATCCTTCGCCCCCCTTCTCTATCCTTAGCCGCTCCCTGCTCCAATTGTCCGTCATTAGCTTGGCCCCGGAGGTGGCCCTCGAGGCTTTGGCATCGGACCTCCCCTGCTCTCTTCTTCGCCGTCGCCGTCGCCGTCGCCGTCGTCGTCGTCGTCGTCGTCGTCGTCGTTGTCGTCGTCGTCGTGCCGTCTTGGAGAGGTGGGCAGAAGGCTTGGCTTGAGTGGCGCAAATCTTTCAGATACTTCTCGACGCCGCTGTAACTGAGGCTCCTGTGTGCGGCGTCGGGCCCAGGTGGCACCATTGCATGACGCCTACGCAACGCAACGCATCGTCGTCGTCGTCGTCGTCGTCGCCGTCGTCGTCGTCGTCGCCGTCGTCGTCGTCTTCGTCGTCGTCGTCGTCGTCGTCGTCACCAGACGCCGGACGAATTGGCTCTTTCGTGCCCAGCGTGTACCATAGATTTCGGCTTCTTGGGGCCGTCCTCGTTTCAGCACCATCGAACAGGGATCCGGAACCACCTCCGGGGAAGGGGTCGAGGCCTTTGGGGGGGGGCCGCGGGTTGACAAATCGCATCGTCTGACATAATGAGGGTCGCCGTCGTCGTTCGAGGTTCGATCAGGAGGAAAAGAAACACACAGACACAATTAATCGTCGATTCCCCAGAAAATATGGGAAAATATGGGAAGTGGGGGGGAAGACAGAAACCCAGAAAATATGGGAAAATATGTGAAATATTTTTATTTGTGTGTATTTATTTGTGTGTCCCAGGGCCCCTTCATTCGAGGATAGACGCGTCCTGGATGCTTCCTGGGGCGGTCCCTGGGCCCCCGCGGCCTCTCGCGTCGCCGCGGCAGGGCCTTCCCCCCCCGAGCTCCTGGCCGAAGCAGGAGGGGCCCAAGGGTCGATCTGTGAGGGCCGACTTCCGTTTCGTCCGCTTTCTTTTAGTCCGCTTGCGATTTTTCAGCCTTTCAGCCTTTATGCCAACAGATCCCACGGCGTGAGACCAGCAGCAGAGGAAAAGGGGGGGGGGGGTCGAGGTCGGAACAACCCACATCATCGCTTGATGGGGATGCTGCGACCAAAGAAACGTCTGGCGCTGGGGTCGATACCTCTCTTAAAGTCCGCTTGCGATTCGTCCCCTTTCGTCTCGTCCGCCCTCGTCTCTTTCGTCCTCCTTCGTCGCGTCACCGGACCCCGGGCGAACCGGAACTGGACGAGCCGAAACCGGGCAATCCGAGGCAGACGAATCGAAGCGGACGAGTCGAAGCGGACGGGATGAAGCGGACGGAGTGGAATCCAGACGAAACGAAGCGGAATCGTCTGCCAGGGGGCCGCCGCCACCGTCGTCGTCGTCGTCGTCGTCGTCGTCGTCGTCGTCGTCGTCGTCGTCGTCGCCTTTCGCCGCGCCGGGGCCGCCGCCGAGGCCGCCGCGGAGGCGGAGGAGGCGGCGGCTGCGGCCGCGGCCACCAGGACGCTCCCGTCGCTGCCCAGGGGGGAGTGGGCTCGCCGAACGACGATCGACGAACGTCCACGACGACGACGGCGACGGCGACGGACGAGGACGACGAACGGTGGACGACGGACGGCGGAAGACGGACGACGGTCCACAGACGACGGTAACGACGACGTCGCCGTCGTCGTCGTCGTTTGTCGTCGTCGTCGTCGTCGTCGTCGTCGTCGTCGTCGTCGCCGCCGTCGCCGCCGCCGTCGCTTCCGCCGCCGCCGCCGTGATTCGTCGTCGTCGTCGTCGTCGTCGTCGTCGTCATCGTCGTCGTCGTCGTCGTCGTCGTCGTCGTCGTCGTCGTCGGGGGTGCTTGCGAGGACAGAGGACCGCGCCACGGGGTTCAGACGTTCGTCGCCTGCAGGCTATGACTTTTCCGATACGTGCTGCCCCGAGATCCTGGCGCTGCAATTTCTCGACAACAGGCGTGCTCGCCCAGTTCCGGGCCCCTTGACCCTCGCGGATCAATCCAGCTCGAGAAACGACGCAGGTGGATGGGGTCTAGCGCATCGGTCACGATTTTGCTTTGCAGTCTTGCACTTTTTTCGCAGCGTCGGATCTCAGCATGCCCGACGAGAGAGACCGGCCCCCAGATTTTCAGCAGTGGCGCACCTGCCGTTTCGACATTTTCCGGATGCGCTGGATATCTTTTCGGCCTCCAGGGCCGTCAGTCAGCCACGCGCAGAGGGGGGGGGATAGGGGGAGGGGGGAAGGCTTCTTACAAGCACCCCCGCTGCTCAGAAGGCGCGGGCCTTACCTATAGGTGTAAGGCCCGCGCCTTTACGAAGCAGCTTCCTTCTAAGAAGCCTTCCCCCCTCCCCCTGCCGCCTTGTGCACGCCGCCCAGCCAGAACACGATGCGATGCGGAATGAGACGCTGGCCGGGGCGGACCTGCAGTGGTCTGAGGCCCGGGTGCCGGCTCATGCCGCTCGGGGGCCTCCCGTCGGTGAGGAGAAGGATTTTTACCTAACAGCGAAGACTGATAGGTTTCTAGTGGGGTCAAAAGAGAGCATCTTGACTCCCCAGGGGTGTCTGGGCGGGTGCCAGGAGAATCCGGGGAATCCGGGGACTCCCCAGAATTCATATAGATTCCTATAGTTTCTTGTGGATTCTGTTCCCAGAATGCCCGGAGCCAACTGTAGGCCACTTCGTGTTCTTCGTCTTCCCAGAACACCATTCCTAGGCCACATTTTGAATGCCCGGAGCCAGCCGTAGGCCACTTCGTGTTCTTCGTCTTCCCAGAACACCATTCCCAAGCTACATTTTTTGAATGCCCGGAGCCAACTGTAGGCCACTTCCTGTTCTTCGTGCTCCCAGAACACCATTCCTGTACCATATTTTGATTGCCTGGAGCCAGCTGTGGGCCATTTCGTGATCTTCGTGTTCCCAGAACACCAGTCCTGTGCCATATTTTGAATGCCCGAGCTGAGGCAGGCTGAGGCCGAGGCAGGCTGAGGCCGAGGCAGGCTGAGGCTGAGGCTGAGGCACGCCGAGGCAGGCTGAGGCTGAGGCTGAGGCAGGCTGAGGCTGAGGCAGGCTGAGGCTGAGGCTGACGCAGGCTGAGGCCGAGGCAGGCTGAGGCTGAGGCTGAGGCAGGCTGAGGCTGAGGCAGGCTGAGAGGCTGAGGCAGGCTGAGGCTGAGGCTGAGGCTGATGCAGGCTGAGGCTGAGGCTGCTGAGGGCTGAGGCTGAGGCCGAGGCAGGCTGAGGCTGAGGCTGAGGCTGAGGCTGAAACTGAGGCAGGCTGAGGCTGAGGCTGAGGCTGTGTCTCAGGCTGAGGCAGGCTGCGGCTGAGGCAGGCTGAGGCTGGCTGATGCAGGCTGAGGCTGAGGCAGGCTGAGGCTGAGGCTGAGGCTGAGGCTGAGGCTGAGGCTGAGGCAGGCTGAGGCTGAGGCCGAGGCAAGCCGAGGCAGGCTGAGGCTGAGGCTGAGGCTGAGGCTGAGGCAGGCTGAGGCTGAGACAGGCTGAGGCTGAGGCTGAGGCAGGCTGAGGCTGAGGCAGGCTGAGGCTGAGGCCGAGGCAGGCTCAGGCCGAGACAGGCTGAGGCTGAGACTGAGGCTGAGGCTGAGGATGAGGCCGAGGCGGCAGGCCGAAGCTGAGACAAGGTGAGGCTGACTGGGGGGGGGAAGGGGGGGGTGGGAGGAGGGGAGGCTGAGGCAGGCTGAGGCCGAGGCAGGCTGAAGCCGAGGCAGGCTGAGGCTGAGGCTAAGGCACGCCGAGGCAGGCTGAGGCTGAGGCTGAGGCTGAGGCTGAGGCAGGCTGAGGCTGAGGCAGGCTGAGGCTGAGGCTGACGCAGGCTGAGGCAGAGGCAGGCTGAGGCTCAGGCTGAGACTGAGGCTGAGGCCGAGGCCGAGGCAGGCTGAGGCTGAGGCTGAGGCAAGCCGAGGCAGGCTGAGGTTGAGGCTGAAACTGAGGCAGGCTGAGGCATCCGTAGGAATCCATAGGAATCCTTAGGAATCCGTAGGCATCCTTAGGAATCCGTAGGCATCCTTAGGAATCCGTAGGCATAATTAAGCATCCTCAGGAATCCTTAGGAATCCTTAGGATTCCCTAGGAATCCTTAAGAATCCTTAGGAATCCCTAGGAATCAGGATTCGTAAGGATTCCTAAGGTTTCCTAAGGATTCCTATGGATTCCTAAGGATGCCTAAGGAGGCCTTAGGAATCCCTAGGAATCCCTAGGATTCAATTGAATCCTAAGGCCGTTGCCACTGCGACTGTCATTGCGAATGCGACTGCGACTGCGAGAACAGCAGAATTCTACAACTGGATTCTCGCCTGAATCTTAAGGGGAATGCTTCCAGATATGCTTATACACAACGCTGTTAGGTTGCTTTGCCGGGATAATTTCACTGTGTGCGACGCCAAGTTAAACTCTGCAAGCAGGTCAAAACTCGGTGGCATGAAAATTGAGGCTAGCTGCATACAGCTGCCTAGCTAGCGTGCGCCTGCAAGGCTGATACGACTGGCATGAGCCTTGTGGCCTCTGCTGGGACCAACCGAGACGCTGCACTCAAAACGGGTGCCACTAGCCACTGCTCTTCCCGCAGCCTTTCAATTACCTCATCACCGTCGGAAAGGCGCTGAGCAACTCGAGGTCAGAGTCTGAGAGCGCCTTCGCACCCTCGTCAAAACGCGAGCCTGCGGGCGTCTTCGCGCCCGAAGGTAAAGGACCCGTCTGAAAGGGCCGAACCTTCCACCTCACCCGAAAGAGCGCTCATAGCCATCTGATCGGAGGGCGCTTTAACCGAAGGAGGCAGCCCCAAACCAGCGTCAACGAACTCTCCTGGACGAGCCTCGGAAAGAGGCTCAGCCAAAGTAGCAGCTGAAAGGCGAACCTCATCAGACGGAGGCTCAGCCAAAAAGGGCTCCACAAGCGTAGGGCGAGCCTTAACAGTTGGAGGCTCGGCCAAACAAGCACTTGAAGAGACCACTGAGGGCCCGATTGCAGAAGCGGCTTCAGCGACACACCAGCCAGCCTCATCAGAGGGAGGCTCAGCCAAGAATGCGTTTGAATCCACAACTTTTTTCTCCCTCTTCTTGTGCTTTCTTCTACGGCGCGTGCGATCGCCGATGAAGCAATTCAAGGCCCTGGACTCCTCCTCGGCGGGGTGCGGGGAATCCGGACCGGTGGCGGCGGCGGCGGCACCCGCAACGCAGAGCTGCTCGATGCAGCCCTTGCTGGCGGGGGTGCTGGCGGCCACTCCTTCAAGCCCGCCTTGGCCTCCTCCGAGCGGACGTCCTTGTGCTTCTTCTTGTGCTTGCGCCTCCGAGGGCGCTTGGCCACTGCCACCTCCGGAGCCGGCGGCGGCGTCGGGATCTTCATACAAGACCTCGGAGCGTCCATAGGCTCTGGAGGATGAGAAAATACCTCCTTAGCTACCGTCGGTGTCGGGGACCCCGTGCTGGCAACTTCGAAATTCACCTTCAAAACCGGGGCCACAGGCTGAGCCGACGCCTTCTGGTTGACCTTCAAACGGTCCCATCTCCTCAGGCAAAACCGAAATACTGAGCAACCATACGAGAAGGACCGGAAGGGCGAGCTCACGCACAGCACGTTTCCAAGACATGGATATAGAAATCGTTCCATATGAGGGCAGTATCGAATACCTCGGCCAATTGATCAGCTTCCACGAACCGATGGAAACGGAAATCCACCACCGCACGCGAGCTGCATGGGCATCATTCACATCTCGCAAGCAGGAGCTGACCAGCAAAAACTACCCACTGGCTCACCGACTCCGACTTTTCAACAGCACTGAAGCACCAACATCGTTATACGGAGCAGAGACGTGGACCCTCACGGAGCCTCTACGGCAGCATCTAGGATGGACACAACGACACATGCTTCGCATGATCATCAGAACGCCACGGAGTCGCACAACGAAAGAAGCCGGCCCTCACACCAGCCAGGGACCTGATCTCGACGGCGCGAACAACGAACCACAATACCACGAAGACCGCACCAACAGCACTAGCGACGACGCAGACAGCAACCATCACAGTGTGATGCACCTGACACGCCTGACAAGCACAGCGAAGACGGCGAAGACAGCACCACCGCAGACGAAATGGAACCATGGGTCGACTACATCCAGCGAGCGACACGACGCGCAGAGGACCTCATGAAGCTCCACCACATTGACAATTGGGAGACGTTGCACAAACCTAAAGTCTGGCGCATGGCTTCACGAGTCGCAAGCCACGACTGGACGAGGTGGACATGGCGAGTGCTGCGCTGATGAGGATGAGGATGAGGACGAGGACGAGGACGATGATGAGGATGAGGATGAGTATGTGGATGATGATGATGATGCTGATGATGGTGATGCTGATGATGCGGATGATGCTGCTGATGATGATGATGCTGATGCTGACGATGATGATGATGCTGCTGATGATGATGATGCTGATGATGAGTAAGATGAATAAGATGATGATGATACTGATGATGATGATGATGATGATGAT